AAAGTCGATTTTTCTTCACACTTTATCTCAATCTACTGAACAATTCAATCAAAATGGCATTCCGGGCTTATGACTGACAATAAACATTAATTGCAATATTGATTATTGACCAATACTATGAATATTGGCATATTTAAAAATCGATTTTATTTACAGTGATTGCAGTTTATTTTAATTTGTTTTACATTATGGTTTTTTTTTAATACTCACGGTTATGTTCTTATTTACAAGGTATTAGCATTTTTAACTACAACTAATAAATAAAAATTGTAATAGTTTTTCTGTCTTTAGACATTCAAGAAAGTGATATTATAGAAAGCAGGAGACGTAACGGCATCATAAAAACATAAAATTGAATAGCGAGTGAATATTTGGGCAATAAAGTCATAAAGTACGAGATGCATAATTTAAAGATCACTAGGCGGTCCGCGCTGTTAAAAAACTACCTTAATACATGAATAATACGGTTCTAAGTCTAAATTCACTTATTTCTAATTTCACTTATTTCTTAACCAGCCGACCACCGCTTGCTCCTTCTCGCTTACACAAAGCGAAAATTAACGAGGCTCTGCGCGTCATGTTTGACTGTCATGTGCCAATTTTGATTTGGTCGAGTCATGTATAATACTACAGTACGCGGTCGGGTTATATGACGCGTAATGCAACAATCGCATTACTTACACAAGTCTACATCGAACGATACAAGTTAAAGTTGTTGTCAGTACAACGTCGCTTCCGCAACGTTACACTAAAATAAATAATCTCCCCCCTTTTTATAGAGCTCTGAGTTCAATAAAGCCGCATAGGCTAACAGTATTAACATAACAGAAACTAGACTAGACTAGACTGTTAACTGTAAATTGCATTTTGAGTAAAACTAATTTTACGGAATTTATCGCGTTTAAATTAACTTAAATCATTTTTAATTATCGACGTTTTGTTAAATTCCATAAAATTATTTTTAATCAATGTTAAGTACTCGTGTAAATATAACAAATAATTATCTCATGTCCATTGCTGATTTATCACGTGCTCGAAGGTGAAGTAGAAGTTGTGAAGAACCCTGCATTACTGAGAAAAAAATAATTCGAAGACATGTTGTAAAGTCCACCAACACGCATTGTAGGTAGCGCGACGCACCCTTTCTTGCCATAAAAACCTTTTCATAAATTAGACGCTTTTGCCTAGCAATAAGACGCATATAGAATATGTAGGTTTATCATAAATTTTATTTTTTCGCCAAAAGTGTAAAGACAACACAAGCGAGATTTATGAATTGCTTCTGGAATGCAGTATTCATTAACTACGTAAGATATATGATAAATTATTTTTCCTGCAATGAGTGACAGTCTTATTTTGGACCATTTCCCAAAAAAAAATACAAGTCTTTAAAGTTAACTGTTTCTTTTTTATTTATTATAAAATATTTATTATTACATATGCATTTATTTTTGTTAAGACATTTATTTTTCATTGCAAGTGTAATCATTGCAATTGCAAGTATCTATTATTAAGTCTAGTTATAAGCTGATCTACACATAATGTTTTTTTTTAAGTTTCCAGTGTCAATTTGTTAAGAAATGGCCAAATAAATATCTCTTTATTTCTTTTTTTCTTTCTTTGAATTAGTTATAACAGTTAAGAATAAATTATGACGATGATTTTTATGACGATGTAAATAATGCTCTATCGAAATTAGTACATTGGTTTAACGCCAACAATTTGCTCTTAAACGGCAATAAGACGAAATGTATTAAATTTAAAATACCTAATGTAAAACATTCGAAAACCAATGTGCTCTTATATGGGGAGGAATTAAGTCATGGATACAACTGTTTTTCTTGGCATTACTATTGACGCGAAACTTCAGTGGGGCCCCCATATATCTAAATTAACAAGCAGACTTAGTTCTGCAGCATATGCTGTAAGATTTGAAGTTTCACAAATGTTGAGACAGCTAGATTAGTGTATTTTAGTTACTTCCATAGCGTAATGTCTTATGGAATTTTGCTATGGGATAATACGATTGATATTGAAGCTATATTTGTTTTACAAAAGAGAGTCGTACGGGCGATTTATAACCCAAATTGTAAAGAGGCCCTCAGAGAAAAATTAAAAAATAAATAAACATATTAACTTTGGCATCGCAATATATTTATGAGAATGTAATATATGTGCACAAAAACATAAATAGCTTTAATAAGAATAAGGATGTGCATACTTTAAGCACTAGGAACAAACATAAGCTTGTAATACCAGTTACTAGACTCCACAGAATCAGTAATTCATTTATGGGGCAATGTATACGCTTTTACAACAAAATTCCAGAACAATACAAATAGACAAGTTTAAAAGTTTTATTAAAGAAAAACTGTATAAAAAGGGTTATTATATTATCAAGGAATACATGAATGAAAATAACCCCTGGGAATAAGGTGATCGCTGGTTCTATGAAAAATCATTTAAAAATTGTATAAACGAAGTTATTGTTAAGTGAAATATGTTTGGAAAAAAAAAACTCCCGCTGGGTTTCTTGCTGGTTCTTCCCAGGACAGAGATATTTTCCGAACCAGTGGTAAATAAAAAAAGACTTTCAATAAGTATTAATCAATATTGAATAAAAATCATAATATTCCATTCTATTAGTTTTAAGAGCTTAGAGAGGGCTGCTGCCCTCTTGTTGTTGATAACAAAAATTAAAGAAAACAAAACCAAAAATATTGTAATGTAAATAATTATAAGAATGAAACTGTGGCAAAATCCTCCCCATGAGGCAATCTATAGGATAAGCTAATGTTCAGCAGTGGACTTTTATAGAATGTAAAGGATGGATGAATGGATGGACAGTGAAAAAAAAAGTGGTAGAGCCATGTTGCAGCTGTATTATGGTTGCAATACGAATGAGTCAGCGTAACCGGGGAATGACTACGCTCTTACAGAATACCAGCGTGAAATACCAGCTTAACGCTGATGTGTTTCGTATAGTGAGTGTCAACCGAAGACCATTTTACTGGAAACGAGGCATTCCATCTTAGCCCTTTTAATTCAAACAAAATGCAGATGATTTTGATTCTTATACGAGGATAAATGTAGATGTATATAGGCCGAAGCATCCACTTATCATCAGGTGGACGGTGTGCTTGTTTGTCACCATTATTCTCAAAAAAAAAATCTGCTATTTTTACAAGCTTTTATTTAACTTGCAATATAACAATGTTTGTTTGGGTGGAATCTTGCAACTCAATTTTGAAGCAGATATCTTCAATTCATTGAGCTGAAATTTTGTATACACGTTAAGTTTGGATAATAATGCATGGTTAGCTGTGAGACGTCATTCTAAATCCAACATGACGGAGCACCCAAGATGGCAGACTAGTTATTTTTTATGCACTCCTACAGTATGTGTATCAAATGAAAGGGCTTGCTTAGTGTAACTCGAAAAATAAAGTTACGTCACTCTAAATTCAATATGGTAGACTTCTAAAGATGGCGGACTAAGTTTTTTATAATTTCCTACAATATGGTTGTCAAATGAAAAGGCTTGCTTAATATAACTCGAGAAATAAAGTGACGTCACTCTAAATCCAATATGGCGGACTTCTAAAGATGGCGGACTAAGTTTTTTATGCTTTCCTACAATATGGTTATCATATGAAAGGACTTGCTGAGAATACGAATGCGAGTTAACCAAAACTGAGATGGTGATCATAAACTCGGTTGCTCCAATCCGTCTGAAATTTTGGTGTATTAGGGTTCGGTTTGTTTGCGTCTGTAGCATCGGTTGGTTAACTTTGACTTGTGTAATTTGGCGAGATAGGCGTCAATAGTATTGGTTTACAACCTGTCTAGGAGAAGGGTAACTCCAAAATCAAACCTGGAACTTTGTTTCGTAAGACACAAGTAAGCTTCAAGCTAAGTAGTGCATTCCTCCAAACACCCGAGTCAAGGTGAGACCGTGCCGAAAACTGAGTGGCATCAGGGTGTAACATGATGTCAATCCGTCTGAAATGTTGGTGTACTGGGGTTTTCGGAGTCCTCGAATATAATATTGAGGTCGAATTGCTCGAGTCTGTAGCATTGGTTGGTAAACTTTGACTGTCCAAAGGTCTGGTGAATGGTGCCATTGGATATATTACAGAAATCATATGGCCCTGCAATCCAGAGAGCACAAATGTATGATACTGATATACCATACGTCCGTATAGACTTCGGTAAAAACGGTGTCCATCTCATTAAGCCTAAGACTGTACAATTTCCAGCAAAATATAGTCACGGCACTGCAGAATGAAGAATGCTGCAAGTTATATTATGTTGGGCTTGCACAGTACACAAAATGCAGGGTAGTACTCTCGCCCATGCCGTCGTATACTTAGCTTCGAAGCTCTTCGCTGCTGGTCAAGCATACGTGGCCTTAAGTAGAGTAAAATTATTAGAAGGTCTCCTTCTTGAAGAGCTAGACTGTTCGAAATTAACCGACAAACGACCTTGCAACAATGACGCGTTGAATGAGATGATCGGACTGAGAAACCTGTCCAATGATAACTAAAAAGTAAAAAATAAATTAAAAGTAAAAAAACTTTTTTAAAACAAGCTTTTATTTCAATGCGCTAAATAGAAAAAAAATAAACTTTTCCTTTAAAACTTTTACTATCAACTTATAAAGTCATTACACAATTTATATGATATTAAATTTTGCTGTATACTTGATTTTGTATTTTAAGTGAACCATCGATTTTGATTTGAAGATAGAACCAGCATAATTCCGTGCTTCGAACGCGTAGCGAGTTGACGTCCGATTTATTTTGCAGTGCAATTATTAAACGAACAGTATAAATTCACTCTTATTCCAAGTAGTTTAGCGTTAAAGTGTTTTATCTACAAAAACATCTTTACGAGCTGCATATTATCATACCGTACCGGTGTGACTCATATAGCTCGGAACTGCATAATATTGTACACAGACTAATTTGCGTACAGAGATTGCATATTATACATCTAAAATGAACAGTACTTTTAACCAGATGGACGGAAAAGTGGACGATATCGCAGCCGAAGTAAGTGATGCTTCTTTAATACCCAAAGACCCTTCAGTTTTTAATCAGTCACCTCCTGAACATGTCACATTTCGTAAACGCTTGAACTGTAACTCCCAGATAATTAATACAACAGATTTTCTCAAGTTCCAAGATAAAATTTTAAGCATAATGGAAAACTGGTTTTCTAGACAAGATGAAAAAATGTCACTTTACATTAAACAGCTGAGTGAGATAAGAGATTCTATCGAATTTATAAGCAGTAAATATGAAGACTTGCACAAGACATCCGAGGCCTTAGAAAAACGTATATCGGATTTAGAATCCAAGACCAACTTGCGGGGTGAAAATGAGAATGAAATAAAAATTTCTGTCTTGGAATCAAAGATTAAAAACATGGAACAACAGTCACGTATTTGTAATGTAGAAATTAACAATTTACCGGAAAAAAGAAATGAAAATTTGATCACCATTATTGAAAGTATTGCGACCGCAGTCAAACATACCATCGTGTCTAATGACATTGTTGCTATTCACCGAGTGCCTCACGCAAACACTGGCAATCCACTTCCCAAAAATAGTATAGTTAAATTCACCACGTGTATCATTCGTGACAGTTTTCTAACAGCATATCGCAAAAACAAAGGTCTAACAACTGATCAAAGTGGCATTGGTTGGATTAAGCACGGTAATATACTTGTCCGAGAAAAGGACACATCTCCAGTGTTTTCCATCCGTTATAGAAACGACTTGTCGAAAATACATATTAAAACTCCGCATGATTCATATTCTTATAATATTCGTATTATTTTTTTCTATATTAAGATTATCTGTTTTTATTTTTTTGTAGCTAAAGATGTTTTGTATTTTCACCCATTAAGACACATGTTAAATTACAGCATCTTATTGCTTAGATGTTGCCTCTATTGTATGCATTGCACTATGCGTTGTTTACTACATTCCGAGTATTTCTTACTATCAACAACTTGCAACCTTTTATATTTTACCCACTTTTTATATTATAGATGCTCTTTGCTTTTACATTACTTTTCAAATTACCTATACCTTGTTGTATATTATAATTATATGTTATATTATCTACATGACATATATAAAAAGAAGTCTAATATTTTTAATGATATAATTGTACTAAGTCTTACTGGAGGAAGGAAAAGCTATTTATGTCTTTTAAAATTAACTAACTATAAGCCCACTAGAAATTTTTGTAAAATAGAAGCAACTGCATATATTAGAAAAAGGATTAATATCGTACCTGATGAGTGTCATTATTTACTAAATTTAACTTATTGCTACTCGCGTCTTATAACCCGTGCCTCATTTGTATCCCATTACAATGACTGATAAACTCTTATTATATTATCAGAACTGTAGGGGACTCCGGACTAAGTTGAACACTATTTATATGAATATATTATCGGAGTCTTACGATTTGATAGTCTTAACAGAAACTTGGTCAACTCCTTCAATTGCTAATAATGAATTCATAGATTCCCGATACAGTGTTTCGTTGTGATCGAGATCGAATTGCCTGTGGGAAACGTGACGGTGGCGGGGTACTAATAGCCGTAAGAAAAGATTTGTGTGCAAATCGTCTTCTTTTAAATACAGCATACTCACGGAACTTAACTAGTTCAACTTGCGTTGATTACATTTTGCTGGAGATTCCAGCCAAAAATAACATGAGACATATTGTTACCGCCTTTTATATTCTTCCGCAACGGCCGTTTGAAGTTTATAAGTCAAACTTGGATGCATTGCAAAACATCCTGTTATCGAGAAATATTGACAAATTATATATATTAGGCGACTTTAATATTTCTTCTATTAATTGGGCATTGCCTAATGAATGCGAATTAACTTTGATTGGAAAATACATGCTTAATTTTATTAATATAATTGGCGGCTTCCAAACTAATTATTTAAGAAATCATTAAGGAAACTTACTTGATTTATTTATTAGTTACAATAATAATAATAATTTATGCTTAGTACCCTCATTGGAATTAGTCCCCTTAGATCCTTTTCATCCACCTTTTTACACTTGTATTTATCTATCTTCCTTGCCTCGGGCTATGCCGCGCGGACCTGTTTTGAAATACGCTTTTTTTGAAGCCAAATATGATGAAATTAATAATAGTATTAAGAAAATTGACTGGGTTTCCTTATTTTCTAATAAACAATCTGAATCGTCCGTAAACACATTTTATGAACAGATTTGTTTAGTTATTAAAAACCATGTTCCACTTCGACCATTTAAACCCTCAGGCTTTCCCATCTGGTTTTCAAGACCACTAATACATATATACAAAAACAAAAATAGAGCTTGGATAAAATGGAAAAAATATAAGTCGTATTCCGACTACGAATCTTTTTCCATTTATCGTTCCAGATTCAAAGCTGAATGTGTCCTTTGTTTTCGCAAGTACATGAATACTATAGAAGATGGCCTACGAAAAGATGTTAAGAAATTTTGGCAATACATTCATAATCGTAGAGATAGCAATAGTATTCCAGATAATATCAAATACAAACAGGAAGCAACTAACTTACCAGACGAAGCATGTAATCTGTTTTCAAGCTTCTTTAAATCCGTATTTGAACCATATAACTTAGATTCAGAGAAGTTTACATTTGATAGTAATTTTTTAACAGAACCAAACAATTCTAGTCTAAATGGCTTTATTTCTACTATAAATTTCACTGTTGACATGGTAAAAAAAGAACTTGAAAATTTAGATGTTTGCAAGGGATCTGGACCGGATGGTATTCCTCCTTTCTTCCTTAAATATACAGAGGACACAATCTGTGTTCCTCTGACGATTCTTTATAATAAGTGCATTCAAGATGGTGTCTTTCCTGCTATTTGGAAAACAGCGAATATCACACCTATTCATAAAGAGGGATCCAAGAACGACGTAGAAAATTATCGGCCAATCTCATTACTATCCGTATTGTCAAAAGTGTTTGAAAGATTAGTACATAATGTTATTTATCCTGTCCTTCACAATATAATCATACCCGAACAACACGGATTTGTTATAAAACGATCCACAGTAAGTAATCTCCTCGTTTATACTACATACTTATTTGAACATAGGGATAAAGGAATACAGGTCGATTCTGTGTATACTGACTTCCGTTAGGCCTTCGATAAAGTAGATCACTATACAGGGTATTTTTGGAACGCTCCCGAAAACTAAGACAGGCGACAGCACCAAGTATACCTTTGATCATGGGTTACAAATAAAGTCGATCCTGATGAAAAAAAAATCATCTTTTAACAACGTTTTATTAGCTTTACTCACGCGCCATCATGTTAGTACAGCTAAATGAAACGATAATTTCATAAAAAATATCATGAAAATACTGAAACATAAAACCAGCAGTGGAAACTGAATTGATATCACCTGACTAATGGAGGTTAATGTACGCGCGAACGGTGAAAAACAAACGCTGGCCTTGAACTTGGGCACTGAGCGATTTATCACATATTGGTACGAAAGGCGCGCGACGGGGGAACAATCCGCCAGTATTAGTGTGCCTGCATGCTATTGGTTCCCGCGCTTTGTTCGCTCCAAAAATACAGTCGCATACACAGCTTACTTTGCGACTCGCGACGATGTTTTAAAAAGGAAAGAAAGAAAAATTATTTATATCTATTGTTTTATGACTAAACTAGTGATCGAAAAGGTAAATATGATAGGAGAAGGTGAATGGGGAAAATTGTGCAGTAAAGTTAAAAGTGTGGAGGAAGAATACCGAAAAAATTACCATATGATCGACCTGATGACGGAAGCTCAAGCGAAGATGAAAGTGATGATCAAGTAGCATCCAGTAACACCCAAGACGTCATAATGGACGGCGTGTTACCCTTAGCTAAAGTTTTCTTGTTACAAACTACTTTATATTTTACGATAGAAATAACAAATAATGCTCATGTAAACATTATCCATTTTTAATTCCCACCTCTTCCAAAGTTCTAAGTAGCTAGTAAAACACCTATTATGATTCTACATTAAAACAATTAATTACTATAATATTATAAAACAATAGCCCAATACCATGTAGTACTTTAGAACGCGATTGTACCCACACCCCCTCCGCTATCGACCTGTATCTAGCTCGGTACGAAACACGCGGTCGTAAGAAAAAAGGGCGCATCTAACAATTTATGAATAAATGAGTTAAATATACCATTCGATTCATGATAAGAAGGCGCATCTACTAAATTTTTTTAATATTCACAAATATCAATATTTTAGAAATTATCGTAAGAATTTTAGACGTAACTGTTGATCACAGATGACTTTTTTTAGTAGAAAAGACTTATACAAATTCAACATAAAAGAAAAGACTTATTTAACCAGTTGCTACGTCATCTTTAACAATATTTGCATCGATTACTTAAATTTCAATTATTCTTGGTCTTGTCTTATTATTCTATATCTTATTATTAAGAGCTTATATCTTATTGTTAAGAGCTGGTGTTTCACATGTGGTCCCATATAAATTTGATCGAGGTCAGAGCAATAGTTTTTGAGTTATCCTTAATTATTTATATTAAAGTCGGTTGTACAAAATTTTTAATTTTTAATTATTATCGTAGTAAGTCTTGTATGATATCCCCTTTAAAATCATTACTTTTTAAAATTATTATTTTTTGTGTCTCACTACCAATGCTTTTCTAATATTTATTAAAAAAAAGTAGTAAATTACTATTAGCGACCTTTCCAAAATATGTAAAATTGTTAAATGAATGGCAGTTTTTTTTTAATTTATTAGGTTGGAAAGACGCAAATAGTTATATGCGTCTTTCCTTCGATGTTTTTGTGTTGCCAGGTGTATTTTTTAAGCTAAGATGAAAAGGAAAATTCGTTTTATTTAAATAAATAAACAAATTATCAAAAAATTTGTTCGTCCTTAAAATCTTCATGTCTCTACGTATTTTCATATAGATACCTTTTAATATAGGTACTTTAGACACAGGGTCTGAAAGAAAAATTCATCAATTTATTTTTTATTTCCATTTTACGTTTTTGTTAGTTGCGTCCTTCTTTATGTAACCCGACGACGGCAGAATGTAACCCGGCCGGCTCGTGTCGCCTCACGCTGTGACGCAGTAGACAAAGCAAGGAGTAAAGTATTCTGTGAGACAAAGAGTATAATAACTGTCCTAGCAGTAGGTTTCAGTTTTGTTGGGGTTCGTTATTAATTGTAGTTTTTGAAACAGTTCCGTGTTGATTTTGTACACGCGTGCGTGAGCGACAGCTCAATCGTATTGTTATTACTTGCGATTACGTGTTGGTATTATACCTGTTGTTACGTTTTTTGTTTTAATAATGCTTAACGCGTACTTTTATAGTGATTGTGAATACAGCAACATGTTATCCGAACCCAGGTACACGAAGTATCGCCAAATAAATTGTTAAGACGTCGGGATGCGTTTGTGCAGTGCACAAAGTGTTGAAGCGTAACCGAATGCGCCCATACAAATTGCACAAAGTGCAAGCTTTAGTTCCCGGTGATCACGTCCGCCGACGAGTTTTCTGCCGTTGGTTATTATACCAGCGACAACGTGTGCCTGGTTCCATTGAGCACATTATCTGGACGGATGAGTCGACATTTACCAGAAATGGCCTGTGGAACCGAAGAAATACACACGTGTATTCAGAGGTTAACCCGCACGCTGTTCGACAAACCGGGCACCAAACCCGATGGTCGGTTAACGTATGGGCAGGTTTATTTAAGGATCGCATACTGGGACCAGTGTTTCTGCCACAGCGACTGAACAGACAGCGATACCATGTCGTGAGGTTCGTCCGTGAGCGCCTCAATGAGCTATTTGATGATCGCTGGATCGGCAGACTAGGACCACACGCTTGGCCACCTCGCTCACCAGATCTGACCCCGTTAGACTTCTTTTTGGTATGTGAAAGAAAGGGTTTTTAATCGTGAGTGTGATAGTGCTGACAAAATGCGCCAAAGGATCGTGGATGCTTTCGAGAAACTATGTACGGACTGTGTCGAAGACCACACGATGATGCCCCGCCTGCACCCAAATCTACCTTGAAATGAATGGAGCACAATTTGAGCTGCATCTCATAAGACCACGGAGGATTTAGAGCGGTAAGCTGTTTCATAACTATTTTTTTAAATAACTTAGTGCTGAACTAATCTGAATAGGTACATAATTGAATACATGAGAATAATAAACATACCTACACGATGAATAAAAACGCATGACTCCAACCTTGGTTACATTTCATTTAAGTATTTTTTCATTAGCGTATGTAGTGGTATGGCCCGCTAGTTGCGGGCCACGCGAATTTGCGTTCGCGAGTACATTGACCTTTAGTCAGGTGATACAATTCAGTCATTCCACTGCTGGTTTTATGTTTCAGTATTTTCATGATATTTTTTATGAAATTATCGTTTCATTTAGCTGTACTAACATGATGGCGCGTGAATAAAGCTAATAAAACGTTGTTAAAAGATGATTTTTTTTTCATCAGGATCGAATTTATTTGTGACCCATGATCAAAGGTATACTTGGTGCTGTCGCCTGTCTTAGTTTTCGGGAGCGTTCCAAAAATACCCTGTATATTACTCAAGAAAATTGCTTTTAATGGGATTCGTGGTGATTTGCTCAGATGGTTTCATTCTTACATTACAAAAAGAACTCAGAGAGTTGTCGTCAACGGCCATTCATCTAACTTAGTTACTGTCACATCAGGTGTACCACAAGGATCTATTCTCGGTCCCTTGCTGTTTATCTTATTTATCAATGACATCAACAATTGCTTTCATCACAGCCATTTCTTACTTTACGCTGACGATCTAAAGGTATACCTGCCAATCTTAAGCGCTGATGACAACTTTAAGTTACAAAGTGATCTTTATCGCTTATCTTTGTACTGTACTAAAAATAAACTACAGCTTAATGTTGATAAATGTAAATCAATAACATTTACAAAGAAGCGTAATGTTATAAATAATACATATACTATTAATAATACAGAGTTATATGAGGTGGATTTAATTAAAGATCTAGGAGTTATACTAGACGCAAAATTTGATTTTAACGATCACATTAACTATATTACCAACAAAGCATTTTGTGTATTTGATTTTATTATTCGCTCTTGTAGTGAATTCGTTCGACCCAATTCATATATCTACTTGTTTAATTCTCTGATCAGACCGATATTGGAGTACGCCTCTATCATTTGGAACCCATTCTATGAGAAATACAATCTTCAGTTAGAGCGTATCCAACGAAAATTCTTAAAAACCGTTAACTATAAATGCTATCACAGATCGTATTCAAGTTATATTAATTTATTAGACAAATTTTCGCTCCTACCTCTTAACAAAAGAAGGATACTTATAAATAATTTATATTTGTATAAACTATGTCATAATGATATCGATTGTATTCAACTCATTAATCAAATATTCTATCGCGTTCCAAGTGGTTCACAACGTATTGGTGAGAAATACTCACATAAACTATTTATGACAAAAATCTGTCGTACTAACGCTGGTCTTCGTTCCCCATTAAGACGCATAGTGCAATCATATAATGATTACTTTAGCGATATTGATATTTTTACTGCCTCAAATATGTGCTTTAAAAAATATATTAAGAATAAATTACAGGTATTAAAAATTAAAAATTTTATTTGTGCAAACGTCTCTTATACTGTTTAATACTTATATTTTTGTTGTGATAGTAATTTTTTCTCTTCAACTCGTTACTTATTACTTATTGTTTATACTAATATGTGGTATACGGTGTTGAATGTACATATATTATACTCTTTTTTGATAATACTTTTATAAATACCTTTGTACATTTGTTTGTATATCTTAATAAATAAAATAAAATAAAATAAAATAATTGGTACTTTAAACTGTTTCTAAAAGATAACTTACATGAGTAATTGCTATTAAGAAAGGATGTCCACGAATTGAAACTATAAATTCGAAATTTAAACGCTATGCATCTATTTAGTGCTAAGTAACAATATTGTCTAAAGATTTGTACTGGAAGTATGCCAGCTGATAAAATAAAAAAAAATAAACAAAGCTGGATGTACATTTGCCAATTTTTCTAAGCCAATTGGCTTAGAATTACAAATAT